AAAAGTGACCCTGCCTCAACATTTTTGAATATCTCACTGCATTAACTATACTGTTTAAATCATATTGAGTTAAGTACAAAATTGCCCATCAATGATTGCATCAAAGCTACAGGTCACTTATAGTAAAAACATAACAATGATTTCACATACAAATACTTCAGGTGTTCTTTTGACGTTTAGTGAATTGTCTGTCTCCCTCAAACCAGCTCTCTATGAAGCTGCTTTTGAATATTTGATCTGACATTTGACAGTGATTGAAAAAGATTTAAAAAAAAAAAAAAAAAAAGAGCAATGTTTTCCTCTCCGGCTGTGATGAATAATGCAGTGTCAGCTGTCTAGACTTCTCTGTCAGATTGTTTAGAACAATTTTCCCTCGTGTTCTCAAACCTTTGTGTGATAGAATAAACTGATGAAAGAGCCTCTCGTTTCCTCTTTTGCCTTGTTACATGGAGTTTACAGTAGCTGCGGATCAATGTGTTCAGCTGGTACAGCATTATGCTCCTTGTACTCACAAACTCCAGGACTCCTGTCCTCAAGGATTTTCTTTCCCTGACCCTGTGCTCTCCTGCAAACCAACGCATTTACATTTCGAAACCATTTATTGCATCAGTAGCTCATATTCCTAATTACATTTATTTTTGACTTTTGTATGTGTTTTTGATGGTGCAGCCTGTTCCTCTTAATGGAAATCCTTTGAGCTGTTCCTGCCACCATAAGAACTTGCAACAAAAACACAAAGCTTCAAGCTAAAAACCTTAACCCAAGTTTCCTTAACTAAATTCTTAATCTCCCTTTTTACAGGTCTAACTCATTTAGCCTGAGGTGCAACCTGGACTGTTCACCAGATAATCCCAGGGCTGTTAAAACTCATTCAACTATTTTGAATTATACTTTATAAGAAGATTTTTCAAGTACAATTAATCAAATTACCTGATTGATTGATTTGTGAATTAGTTGTTACCTTTTCTTACTCTTTAAATGGGTTAAAAATAAAAAATAAACAGCATGTGAAAACTGACATTGATAAAGATGTGTTTTAATCAATTTTACTAAACTGCCCTCTGTCTCACATGTCCCACTGACAGAATTAACCTCTTTGAGGCTCCATGCTGCCTCAGTTAGCGTGCAATCTGTCAAAATTTGGACCCTAAATCCCACAAGCCTGCAGCTGTGTGCAAGGCCTCAAACACACAATGAGTGACACAATAGGCCTGGCTGTGCCATTAGCTGAGAGGTTGTCATGCCAACGTTACAAAAAGGGCCACGCTCCACACAGGCAAAAGGTTTGGCCGCAAGGAGGATTCATATTGAGCGAGAGCTTTTGCCTAGAGGCCCTTCACTTCGCTCCAATTTCTGTTACATCATTATTCATGTGGGGAAAAAAGGACGGTCCTCTTCCTAAAGCTCCTGCTGAGGCCCGCAGACCAGAGTGATGGCAGCTACCAGTGTGTTCATACTGGGGAAACAGTGTGGTAGAGGCTTGGTGTCAAGTTTTTCTGTCCTTATTTTGTGGGGAATCTAGCTCCACAATACATGCACCATTGTGTAAGTAAACAGTCAGTCTCTTTGTGCTGACGAGTGTGACGACCGTTTGAACCCTGAGCTAAAGCAGCAGGACCGTAGCTCAGACTGGCAAGGACCCAGAGTTGAGATGTCCAACAAGAAAAAATATTTTTTCAGAAAACTGACTACTAGATGTGAGCTGTGGAAGGCAATATCTGAAGTGATGTTCATCATTCAACATGAATTGGTCCCTGAAAACAGTCTAGGTGGAACCTGTGTACCCAATCCATGTACTTTTTTCTTTGGCTTCTGCTCAGTAGTGTTAAAACTTTTAAAAAATCATGCACAAATCAAAAGAAAAGAATCGTATTCAACACACAGGTGAAGGAAAAATAAAACAGTGAGCAAGATGCAGTTTGGATTACTGTTAGAGAAGTGTCCAAAATCAAGGTGCAGGATTCAAACTTAAAATGTATGAGCTTATTCTTTTGATTATCTTTGACCAGTAACTGACCTCCTCGAGGTAATTTAACGATTTCCCCTGAAAACATACAGTACCATTTCAAAATCACAAATATTCAGGAGGCTTCAAGTTCAGTTGGACCATCTGTCTCTCTTTTGAAATGCAAAAACAAAAAGACACCATTCATTTGGTGCCTCCTTGATTCCTCTTTTGTGTGCGTAATTTGCTTTGGACATGCCCAGTCTCACACATACACACACAAACACACACACACACACACACACACACACACACACACACAGCTCACATCTTTGTGTCGCTCACAGTGGGACTCTGCATCTAAACAAGCTGGGATGTATGGAGACACCTCGGGGTCCTACAACATCTGAAATTCTCTGTCTCGCTCTCCCTCTGTTTGTTTCTCTCTCTCTCTCTTTCTCTCTCAGCCAGTGTGAAACTGCTTCAAAAAACAATGACGAGGGATTTTGGGCCGTAATCCTCCAGCGGCTCAGGGTTGAGGAAAGTTGAAGAAGAGTAACAATAAATCCCTCAAAATAATGCTCTCCTTTTTCCTTCCAGATTAACAGAAGCATGTGAATTTAATATGTTGAATGTTGGAAAGGTGTATTTTAATCTACTGCCTATCCTATAAAGAATAAAAACATGCCCGACAATATTCTAATCCATTCTCAGTGTGATGTGTATACTAAAAATGAGACATATCAAACATTGATTTGATACTCTATGGTATTCTCATATTCTCCTTGTTCGTGTAGTGAAACAGCTCCATCTGAAAACAAAAAGGAGTCAGAATGAATAATGAGAAAGCCTAATTATGTTTGATGCTGGCAGCATATTATATACTAACTGCAAAAAACAACCACGTAAAGTGGTTAACCATGTGGGGACCGGTCCTCATAATGTCTAACGAAAGCATTGTCCCCTTGATGTATGTAAAACAAGAACACTAGGATTAGAGTTCTGTGAGTTATAGACAACACGTCTTCATACCTAAACAAAAGAATAGGTAAATCAACAATAACTTCCAAGACAACATGGTGGAATATTCTTCCAACATAAATATATCAACCAGAAAAATGTGTTACATGTCTCATGTTTTGTCACTAATCATTTTACTATATCAAATATAGGGAGGTCAAGGGTTTAGAAAGAGTTTTTTTTCTTCTTTGCTGAAAGAACACACACAGTGGTTTGTTGTTTGTAACCGAAACAAGGAGATTGATTTTCACAAAGTCCATAACTAAGCAGTCCTAGCTGGAAGAAGGAACTGATTGCTGCTGACAAAGCAGTCCTGACGGAGTGGTGGTCAGCTGGATAGTGACACGCAGCAACACATCAGAATGGAGGATGATAACATTATGGCACACAATGAATTATTAATAATCTGCTCCTGCATTGTAAAGATTGATCTATTCATTCAATATATTCATCCATCTAGAATGACAAGGGAAGTGCAGCCAGAATATTCTCAACATGTATCATAAACATTCAACAGAAAAAGATTTTGTACAATTAATGCTTGCCATTGTGAAACTTGTGAAATTAATTTAAAGAAGAACGGTTCACTCCTCATGAAACACCTAACAGAACCCATAGCACCCTAACTATCTACAGATATCAGTTTGTGACTTTTTGACCACAAATTTCACCAGCCCACCACACAGATGAACTTGAAGATTTTTGTTGGCATGTTTGCTAGATGCATACACATAACGTGTGTGTGTGGGGGTGTGTGTGTGTGTGTGTGTGTGTGTGTATGTATGTGTGTGTGCGTGTGTGTGCGTGTCTGTGTGTTTGTTTGTTTGTGTCCCTGATCTGCTCTCTGATCTGCTATCTTGCATTATTTTTTATGGTTTTTCTTTGAGATATGTTGAGAAGGATTTGTATTTTGCTCCCTCAAAATGTGTTTATTTTCTATCTCTATGTAGATGGAGAAAACATGATCTATAATTTATAAATGATGATGAAAAGGTTTAAAAACATAATAATACTTTCAGTTAAGAATGTACAAAATTAAAGAGTAAATAATAATCAAAATCGTACAATTTGTCCCAAAATATACCCTCTTAAATAACTGCTAAGTCAACTTCTCTGGATGCATTTCTAAAATATATTTGCCAAGTTGTTGGTTTTCAGTGACAGAAGAAAGGTCAACAGATATCACAAATATTGACCAATGTGTCCCCTTTAGGCGTTTTTTTATGTGCATTGGTGTGTTTTGATTATTCAGATGTTTTAAAGTGACTAAAAGGTTTGTGGATCTTTGGCCTGATTAACCTCTATTGGTTTACATCAAGAAAAAAGATGAGGCCAGAGAAAGATAAAAAGAAGGGTTGGGGAAAGTGAAGAGGTGGGTTAGGAGGAGGGGAGGGTAAGGAAGGGGTTGTCATGGTAACCATTCCTCTGCTGCTGGGGGTAATGATGTAATATTACCCACTGCTGCATTTCTGAGCTCTATTCTCCTCGTAACCCCCCCACACACACACACTGACACACATTTTGTAGTATGCATGCTCGTAACATATTGTGATGTGAAGGAGACAACAAAAGGAAGTCTACAGAGTGTACATGACCCCACATTAACAGCTAGATTACTTTAACCTGCTGTGATCTTATCTCTTAAAAAACACAGCAAGGGCCCTTTTGTGTCTGCTTTTTTAAAGACCACTGATGCTTGTAATCTCTTAAAGAAGAATACAGTGCACTCATGATAAAACCTCTCTCTCTTTTCTTCTTCTTTGCATCTCAGGATCTCTCTCCGTCCCCCCTTAATCACTGCTCCCTGCTGCAGCACATCACATCATCAAAGCCGTGTGTGTGTGTGTGTGCGTGTGCGTGTGTGTGTACTGTGCATCATTAAAAGACAAAAGGAAGAAAGCCCTGGCAGTAGAGTAAAAGATAACAGTAAAGCATCAGATAGCAGCTGTTTAGGACGATTCCTGCCACATGAGGGCGACAAACAGCTATTGCGTTTGCGGTAGAAGGACAAAAAGCAATGGATTCAAATCACCACTTCCCATTGTTTTTTTTAGCTTTATTATTCATAATTCAGAAAATCATACATCCCTTTAGATTTATTGTTATTTTTGACTTGCTGCATGTTCTTCACTTCGTTTATTCCTTTATTGTAAAGTGTATGGGTCCATGCAGTTGTTTAAATCAATCTGGTAGATTGTTTTTACAATTTATTCCAAGGACATTAAAATATATTACAGATTAAAAATATACATCAATTGTTGTCAGAACAAGCCTCGCAAAGGGAACTTATCTACTTCTACATTCACTTCCTTCTACCAAGAAACGAGACGGGGACTTAAAAGACTTGTAAGAAAATATAAAAGATAGTAAATCTGTGTGTAGTTTTTAAAAACATTTTATCCCAAATGCAAAGTAATAACAGCCCCAAAACAGAATATACATAAAAAGGTTATTGACATTTCATATGTCTAAGTAAAAACTAAATATGCAAGTCATCTCAATATTTAAATCATGTTCTTTTCCCTGTCCCTTTATATAGTCTTACAGACACTGATCCAGAACCAACAGTTTGTGATTGTCTTCATCAGTACCAATTCATAGCATTAAGAGGGATATGGGGGGGGGGGGGGGGGGGGTTATCTCTTCATGCTGCAGCTTCACATCTCTGGCTAAATAACACCTCCACCACCTTGGGGTCAGCTAGTGTTGAAAGATCGCCCAGGTCCTTCTCGTTACGAGCGATCTGCCGGAGGATTCGCCTCATGATCTTCCCTTTATAGGGATCAGAGTCACAAGAATAAAAGACAGAGGTTATAGGCTGCTGACTGAGGAAGGGGGTAATGAAAATGGTTGTTGGTTTTCAAGATTTTGTTTTAAAGGCATGTTTTTTAAATGAGGCGTTGAGCTGTTTGTTACCTGAGCGAGTTTTCGGCAGCGCTGGAGCATTTTGAATGAAGTCCGGGGTGGCGATGGGACCGATTTTCTCTCTCACTGACAGAAGAACAGAGAATATGAATCAACGCAGTTCATACTACAGCATGTCTAAAATTAAGATATTCATTTAGTAGAATGCCTTGTGGACATAACGTCTAAATAGTGCTTTTTGCATTACATTTTGCAATGCATTAAACTGATATGAAGCCTACTCTACTCTCCTCTCCTAGGAACAATTAAGCATTATTTAATGTTGTTATATTGCACAGATAGTACCATTACATTGTATGGTATCACTTTTGTGTTACACTGTAAATAATTGTTACCTGTGGTTACTTTCTTATGCTTTGTTTTTGTTTTTTTCTATCTGCACTGTTCAGCACTTTGGATTAACTGTGTTGTGTGTAAAGTTCTATATAAATAAAGCTGAGTTGAGTCTGGATCATATCGTGTTGGATCCTGTCCTATCCTATCCTATCCGTAACATAACATATTCTAATGTGTATCGTATGGCTTCGTTTTAGTAATACTGAAAATTATATTTTGTCCCATTTGCAAGAAAATACATCATTTTGAGTGGATTAGTCCTTTAATCCTTCTGTGTCTACGCCTTACCCAGTCTCTTGAGCTCCTCCACCATCTTGTGGGTAAACTCTTTGCTGTCTTTGAGGGTGACGAAGCAATATAGACACTCGCCCTTCACCTTGTGGGGCCGGCTCACCACCGCAGCCTCCGCCACGGCCGGGTGCTCCGTCAGAGCCGCCTCCACCTCTGCTGTGCTCATCAGGTGACCTGGAAGACACAAGACGAGAGGTCAAAAGAAAACATTTATTTTAAAGGGGTATTACATACCGGAATTTAAAAATCATTCTAGTTGTTGATATTTGATAACATATTTGCTGGTTTTGAGGAGCAGCTGTGTTATCAGACAGAGACACCTTACAGCACTTTCTTGTTCAGTACCTGACACATTCAGCATGTCGTCTATTCTTCCTGTGATCCAGTAATATCCGTCCTTGTCTCTCCTGCAGCCTAAAGAAGGAGGAAACAAGTTACATCACACCAAAAATAGTTTTTATGGCACCTTTGTCTCTCTGATAAACCCAAATGTACATGCTTGCTATCCAGTCTCTAACCCTGAAATCAACTTTGAGGAGCAAAAGGGTGAACTTGATTTTTGTGCCCAGAGTGGCTGAAGAAGTTATCTCATGTCAGGGTTTAAGCCTTTGAAGCCTAAACACAGACAAAACCAAAGTCATGATGTTCTCTAAGGCAAAAACCAAACCATCAAACCTTCTTTGGATTTCTACCTCTCAATCAAGTCTGTTTCGAGCTACAGATATCGTGCCATTTTAATTGATGAGTTGCTTTCTTTTACTCATCACATTCAGCAGCTGGTAAAAAGGGTAAAGCTGAAACTGGGATTCTACTTTAGAATAAAATCCTGCCTTTCTTTTGAGTCTAAGAAGAGGCTCGTTGCTGCCACTTTTATGTCTGTGCTGGATTACGGTGATGTCTTATACATGCACGCCTCCTCACAAAGCTTGCATGCTCTGGACACTGTGCATCATGGAGCTCTGAGGTTCATCACTAATTTGAAATCCCTCACTCATCACTGTTTGTTGTATGAACGTGTTGGATGGACTTCTTTGACCCTACGTAGACTTAAACATTGGTGTACTTTAATCTACAAGTCTATTTTAGGTCTGCTTCCTTCGTACATTCTGTCCTTTATCAGTCAGAAGAGTACAGGGATTTATAATCTTCGATCTCAGGACCTTTTCTTACTGTCTGTTCCAAAAGTCAGAACTGAACTGGGGAAAAAGGCCTTAATGAACTTTAACTTGAGGAAGTTAAATGACTTGGAGGCGGATACATCTGGCTGTAGATGTTCTTCCTGATGTATTTGTGGATGATTTTTTTACAAACATTTGCTGTTCGGATTTGTCATTTGTGCTTTTTAATGTCTGATGTATTTTGTATTTGAATGCTTGGCTGCTCGTTGTCCGTGTGAAACTCTGTTAACGTTTTGCTGCCTGTCTTGGCCAGGACACTCTTGAAAAATAGATTTTTTAATCTCAATGAGTTTTTTTTCCTGGTTAAATAAAGGTTAAATAAAAAAATGTTTTTTTAAAAGGCTGTCTTACCATCACCAGTTACATAGAAACCTGGGAATTTCTTGAAGTAGGTGTTCTCGAATCGTTCGTGGTTTCTGTACACTGTGCGCATTATTCCAGGCCAGGGCCTTCTAAATACCTGAAACAAAACACAGAAAAAACCATTGAAGAGGTTATGACTGCTACCAATGATACCAATTAATAACACTTAACTCAATAAGCTTTTTTATCCAAATACAAATGCAGAGTGTCTAATGATAGAGAGTTACATACTCTGTACAGATTGTAAAGCTTTGGGGAAGAATTTTTATTTGTGATTTTGAGCCAAAAGAATGATATTGACTTGACTTCTCAAAAATTAAAAAAATAGAAATAAAAAAACTTGAAACGGGGGCTCACATGTCAAACGACATTAAACATGTTTTTTCGGAAATGACAATAACGATTCAAAATATAATGAAAATATCCATTATTGTTATTTATGAGTGTACCTTTTAGCAGTTCCACATACACACATAAAGCATCTCATTTGTCTTTCTTCCCTGTCTGCTGAGTGTATCTGTTGACGTCGGTGGGGAGCGGCACTTCCTATCAAAGCTAAACTCAGTTCTACAGAATTAAAACACACTCACAAGATAACCCTCAGCCTCGCCTTCCAGCTCCTCTCCGTGTTCGTTGAGGATCGTGGGCTCTACTCCGAAGAAAGGAAAGGTCTGAAATATGAGGTGTGGATTTCATGTGAGATAACTGTCTTCTTTTATTAAACAGGCTGCAGTGTTTCTGCCAGATCATAACCTGGATTATAATCTACCCGCAGAGAAGTCAAATGAAAAAAGGTTACATCTCCTGCCTTGGTTTGGCTGTGAATACTGATGATCTTTTCTCAAACATGCATGTCCTACCCTCCTTACCGGCAGGGTTTGTTTTGATAGACTTATAGGAGAAGAATTTGTTTGTGTTTGAAGTTACATTAAAAGTAAACATATAAGGTAATGAGTGTTTAAAGAGATGTCCTCACTTACAGCAGAGCCGGGTTTCAGCGCTGTGGCAGCAGGCAGAGGAGTCAAAACATGACCCCCCTGTAGAAAAATAAAGAGATATTTAAAGGCATAAAATACTGAATTTTTTACTTCATATATGTACATTTTATGTGTTCTTGACATCAATTCTTAAAAACATAGAAATGCAATAAACATCTTCTAGTTTGTTTCTTTACCAGTATGAAATATATCGTTACTTGATTTAGTAGGTTTTAACTGTCACCTACAACATGTTTTTGAGTTTCTATAGTTGTAGGCAACATTAGTGATGAACAGATGGAAACATTGAACTTGTTTTGTCATGTTTGGGCTTTGACATTTAAGAAGAAGAAGAAGACCTCTGGTTGAAACAATGTAATTAATTAATTAAAAACTTTTTTGTGGCATTGGAGCATGTGTGCGGGCATATCTTCTTCTCTCTGCTGTTTTAGTAATGCCCTGTGCCTACTTGATGTGCGTATAACTAGCCCTAGATCTTTTGTTTTTTGTTGGTATGAACTTGATGGATCTTCTATAATGTTTTGACGTGTCACTCTTGCTAGTTAGTTAAATTAAAGTAGGTCCACAATGTCGCTCAGATGTTGTGTCTCAGCTGTAACGCAGCCACCCGCCACTAGCTGGGGCAGGTGCTCCGGTTAGTAGCTTCTGTCATACTGCCATAGTGCTCTACTACACGGATGTAAACCAGCACAGTGGTCAGATGGCATCTTGTAGGGCTGTATTTTGAACTAGAAAATGGAGATAAAGTTGGCTGTGGCATGTTAAACTGGCTTGAAACGACTCGACCAGAGCAATGCATAACAACATTCAGCACAGGAATGTGACCGTTATCCTGCAAGGAGGACCAAAGGCTGCTAGTGCTAGCATTGCAAACATGAGCCGCACTGAGCAAACAAATTCAGCTTTGTATACCGATAGATTCTGTGATCCTGTGTTAAATAAATGGGGCTCAATTTTGACTGTATGACTGTTCTTACCTCTGGACTTATTGACTCAATATATAAATTAGCATTTCATCGTCTTTGAAATTAGTCGTCTAGGAACATCCCTAATGTATACCTACAATTACTCTAACCTTTCAAGCAGGCATAGTAAAAAATGACCGTGGATGTGGGTTTAAGAAGGATTTAAAAATTGCAGGAGGATGGTTGTGCAGGAGCTTACGGTCTCTGTCTGCCAGAAAGTGTCAACGATGGGACACCGTCGCTGACCGACAACCTCATGGTACCACTGCCAGGCCTCTGGGTTGATTGGCTCACCAACTGTACCCAGAATCTTCAGGCTGGAGAGGTCATACCTGGTAAATGCACATAAGAAGAATTAGTGCAGGTATCTTATATGCCACCATAATGTGGCGTTGATAACTATTCAAGTTTTTTTGATGGCTGTCTGTACAGGAAAAGTTGGGTGTAGAGAGCAGGGGATTTCAAGCAGCAAAGGGCCAAAGTCAGATTTGAACCGACAGCCACTGTGTTGAGGACCATAGCCTCAGCACATGGGGCGCGTGACGTGACATAACCTCTTGGCTATCAGAGCTCCAATGGACTGGTAAATCAAATGTTCTTGAAAGATGGTTGTTTTCCAAAAACACATAAAGTAATATGGGGGCAATTACGTTTTAAAAAAGCTAATAAAAACCTGTTCATTAATTGCCCAGGTGCCTCAAGTTTTTTTCTCCAGTGGAATCAGTTTCCTTTTTACTCTACACAGACCTTTTTCTATTTAAAAACAAAGAGTTCTTACATGTGATTGGTCAATTTGACTACAATCGGAAAACAGAGACTTCTTAAACCAAATTCTGTCCCCTCAAGAGTTCTGCACCCACATGTCATTTATATGGATTATGGGGACAGTGGTGTCTTTTTAGAGAGTCAACGGTAGTTGTTTCATGTTTTTGTAACTGGCTACAGGCTCAACATATATATTTAGTGCAAAAACAAGAGAGTCATCAATCTACCATTTTAAATGTCTGCGAGCAAGAGAGGGAGCATAACCCCCAAAAATGTCAAACTATTCTGATACATTTTCTTCTAAAATTTCTGTGAACTTAAAAATGCATGAAAGAGACAGTATTAATCACATCATGATTTATAGAGTTTGGTTTCATCAGCTCGCCACTGAGGAGTTTGTTACATAAGAAGTGAGAGCAGGGAGTTCTTTCAAAATGAAAAGGTAGAAATTTCCATATGAAAGCTTGTCACATTTCAAGCTTATTTTGAAAGAGCCAAACCCCTGCTGTAGCTTCTGAAGAATCTGGACTTTTTTTTCTGAGCTGCTATGACATTTAGAGGATGCAGAATCTTACTTCTGAAGTGGCTCCTGTCCATACTTCATCAGTAGGCGGATCGCTGTAGGAGCTGTGTAGAACTTGGTCACTTTATACTTCTCAATTATCTCCCAGAAACGACCGACGTGAGGGTGGACTGGAATACCTTCAAACTGGAGGGACACACACGCACACACGTCTAATAAGAATAACAAAAACACTGCGATGCTCCTATTAGGGGCTCTATATGTGACCACTAATAGCACAAGATTTTTTGATGAATTAAAAAATGTCTTTCATGCTCACCAAGACGCTTGTAGCACCGTTCGCAAGAGGGCCGTAGGTGATGTAAGAGTGGCCGGTGATCCAGCCGATGTCTGCGGTGCACCAGTACACGTCGTCATGGTGATAATCGAAAACGTACTTGAAGGTCAGCGACGTGTAGAGCAGATACCCAGCAACTGTGTGGAGAACACCCTGTACCGTACACAAGGAAAGGGACATGAATGTGGAGGTAACTGGCAGGCACAAAGGCAGCAGAAAGCAAAAATAAGGGAGATCACATGTATGCAGGTGTATGTGTGTCATATGAGCCGGTTCTCTTAGCCTGTGTTTTGTGTAACAAAAACATATCATGCAAAAAAAAAAAAAAAAACTATCATGGTGCTTCCAGCTTTCTAGGTTTGTATTTAGGCCTTTGTGCATGAATGAAGCATCAATTCTGAATATTTCACAGCACAGATTAAACATTATGTAAAGCCATTACAGGCGTATCTGAGTAGAAACTAAATGGTGTTATCTCTTTTTCAAGATTTGGTCTAATTGAGAATTTACAAGCAGATAATGAGCTCTGTTTTCCAGTCTGCATATTTGGTCCCTCCCTCTGTGTGCTTCCACTGTCAGTCCAGTTGCTGCATCCACCTGGGCCTTACCTTCGGTTTGCCCGTGGAGCCGCTGGTGTAGAGGATAAACAGGGGGTCCTCCGCATCCAGCCACTCGGGTTCACACTCTTCAGGAGAGTCTCTCATCACCTCGTCCCACCACACATCACACTCTGCGTCCCAGGGGGTCTGAAAGCAGCAGAACAGCAGGAAACTAATGGAACATATAAAACCACTCATCACAGCCACTCACATTGTGCGCCTGAAGAACAGGAAGCAACACACTGCATTGATTTTAAACCAACAGTCATTTACTGTCCATCTTGGAGGCAGGTTATGAATCCTAAATTGGATAATAGTATTTTTTTTTGGTGGCTGTTGTTTAAACCTTGAATTAAAGATTGAATGATAATGCAAAGTTGACCTGATCATTAATGCTTTTATAGGTATTTTGACATGAGATGCTCCATCTCTTACAGTCTCCTCTGTTCTTATTTGGCAGCCTGCTTGTGAAGAGTTTTATTTTTTACTTCAAAGCTCACCTCAATTTTTTCAATGTCAGCATCAGTGCAATAATAAGTTTTGGAGTCTTTTCTCTTGAGTCCACCTGCTGTAGGAGCTGACTTTGCCATTGGATTTTTTTTGTTTGCTCAAGGAGGTTCTTTTATTGTGATTCATACGAGACAATGTGAAACAGTTTCTTATAGAAGCTATTCTATTTCCTAATGGCAATAATGTCAAACTCTAAATTTGAAATAATAAAAAATGTCTCTAGATGTCTCTAGGGTATTTTCTCTAAATTAATATATACAGCATTGAAGAGATACTGTTTTCTGTTATTCTCTAAAAGAATTTCTTCAAGAAAATGTTGCTTCAAATCACAATAACATTTGGCGATTTTATGATCTTTTTAATGACCCTGTAAATGATGATTTATTTTCTTGGCTTTTTGTCACAGCTTACCTTGAAAAATTCAACCAAAACCAGAAACAATAGGCGACAAGCATAATACATACCTGTAGTTTGTTGCATGCAGCTCCACTTCTCGTCCTCAGTGCCTGGTGTTGGACGACGAGGCATTTAGTGACACTGGATGACGCTCTGTGAGAAATTGAATAAAAGGTGTGAATCACAGTAGATGTGTCATGAGACAGTTTTCGCACCTGAAGTTTTCAATTGACAAGCATATATTTCTCTATTTCCTTCAATCTCGTCTTTCTTCTCAGATCAACTGCACTCATTCATTCTATAATATCGATGATTAACTTCTGCCGACTTTCAGGGGGCTGTAAAATGTGATCGAAACAAATATGACACCCTCTATCATTTGGCCCTTTTCATGAAAACTGGAACAAAGAAAGAAACCTTAAGAAGAGCAACAGAGGAGGGACGCCTTTGAAATAAACAAAACAGTTGTAAACGTGCAGCATGATAAAAGATGTTTAAAATATACACAGGTAACAGGTATATTTGACAGGGAACTCTAAGGTGATGTAAATGGGACATTTTTAGTCAAAAATCTTAAATTCAGGGGCGCCGATGGCCTAGCGGTAAGGAAAAGAGGCTATAGTCCTCCAAGCAGGCAGTCGGGTTCACGTCTGGCCTTAGCCACCTTTCATTCCCCATGTCATTCCCCACTCTCTCCTACACAGATTTCCTACTCTGGACTCTGTCCCTTCCTGTCAGGCATAAAAGCCCCAAAATTAATTCTAAAAAAGAAAAACCATTACCCTGAAATAATGTTTTGATTTGCAACATGAACCTTTGGTATCACTTTATGTTTTATATTGAAATTACATCCTGCAGTGCACCCATGATTCTTTGCACTACACACATGTACATTCCCATCATGCATTGTTTCCCAGCTCACATCCCTCCCAGGCTCATAAAGTCAGGAGAGGAAGAGCAGCCCTGGCTTCCCTGATGAATCTGAACGCCTCGTATGTTTCCAGGCAACCTCGTAAAGTGGAAACCATGCAGTGTGTTTCCTCTAGCTCGCTGATAACAGGTGATATGGCTTTGCTTCGTGCGTGTGTGTGTGTGTGTGTGTGTGGTGTGTGTGTGTGTGTGTGTGTGTGTGTGTGTGTGTGTGTGTGTGTGTGTGTGTGTGTGTGTGTGTGTGTGTGTGTGTGTGTGTGTGTGTGTTAACAATAACTTATGTAAATAAGGGCGGTCTTGTAGTAAGCAGGACCTACTTTTCTCTGCACTTCTCCAGAGCCTCGTCTGCGATCTGTTTCAGGTTGATCATCTTCTCTCCTCTATAAACACCATCTGTAGATCACAGGGATAAAGGAAGAGGGAGTCAGCGACAGGTATGTGAAGAGACAGCTGTAAAGGCGTATGAACAAGCACGGAGGAGGTATTCTGAAACTGTTTTGACAACTTGAAAACCGTCATCTCAGTTCTTCGGTGCTTGAACACACAACATCCTGGTGCTGCTGTGTTGGCTGACGCACCTACCTGCTGTCACCAGGATGCAGCTCTGTGCATCCATGATCCTCTCACACAGAGACTCAGAAGAGAAACCTGCAAACTGCACACATACAGAGGAAGACAAAAGGAAGGTTTGAGAACTTGTGAGAGTAATTCTGGTGGATTTAGCTTAGGGATCAATGACATTGTTTAGTCCCATAACGTCTTTGGTTATGACAACATTGTACTCTTTAAAGGATTAACTGAGATTGGTAACAAAAAATGGCAATAAAAAATGAAGCCCAGCATATCTTACACCAGTAGAAAGTAAGGCTCAATCCCAGTATACCCCTTGCCCCTACCACTTCGCCCTACCCTACATTTACTTATTCACGTTTAGGGGTAGGGTGTCCCAATTCTTTCTGTAATGGAGGGGTGGGGGTGAAATTGCCCTTTAAACAGACAGTCTTCAGAGGCACACTACCAACGAGTGTTATCTCCCAGAAATCTCCCAGAATCTGGTAACATTGTTGCATTTGTTTTATGTAATTGCCGTCGACAACTTCTGATCATGTAGTCGTTTCCATTTTGTAGGGTGAGATTTAACCACTACCCCTGGTCTCTGTTCTAAGGGGCAAAGGGGCACCCGGAAACAAGAGGAAGGGGTAAAGATTAGAAAAGGGCCTGTGACTAAGACTTTGCACTCTTCCTTCAAAATCCAATATGAAGCTCTGGTGTCTCAACATAACTTCTTATTATTGACCTTTAGTGCAAGAATGCAAGTTTGCACTTTAAAAATAAAACAATAGACACCTTTACTTGGTTGGGTGTAACCAGTCTCATTTGACGGCTAAAGTTAGCATACTTCAGGTACATAATCCAGTATAAAATAAAGTTATATGACTTTCTTTATTGTTCTACTGTGACGTTCGGTTTCATTATTTCTCTTTAATTGTTACTTCTGGCTACAGTGGCAATAAATGTTACAAAGGCTGACTTTGAACTGTAAACAGACCCTGTCCGCTCTCATTACCATAAATAGAAGTGTCACCTTGTCCAACCTTTAATAATGAACTAGACATTTCTAATGGATCTTTTACATGATTGTCATTCTCTGTCTTCTCCAGCAGACACATGGCCACTGTTCTGGCCAAGGTTAGAAGTTCACACAGTATACAATTTCAGGGTTGATGGCCCCATTATGAATCAGGTCACTGAGGACTCTGGACTTGGTAAACTGTCACTGCATGACTGACTGTCCTTCCTGGCTCGGTCTATGATCTAATTTTATGCCAAGTAAAGTTATGGTTAATATTAGCTGTCATATGAGAATCTAAGATGCTGGCACTATCCCAAAATGCTTTCTGCATAAACTCAGAGTTAGAAGATTCACAACTATGACCATGCACAGACAAGGTCGCACACACAGACGTCTGCCAAAAACAGTCTTTTTCAAGTCGTAAAACAAACCAACCTTGGAGCAGGCTGCAGATATTTTTAACAGGGCTGCTAACCTTTGCATGGATGTTGAAGGTTGAAAAGCTAAAATAGTGCCAGCAAACGTCTGACCCATATATTAATTGCAGGTGCTGCCAGCGCTCTATTCACACAAAAACTGCTGATAACTACAGGAGTGGGGCAGACAGAGCTATCAGAAGCTAATGTTTTCTCCTGGAAATGAGGTCAAAGCAGCACACACTCAAAATATACATGTTGACTTTTTGAAAAAGATGACTTTATCTGAACTGACACACAGGAAAGGAGCCATAGCTCAGATTCAAACCCAGGCCTCCTGCTCCAAGGACTACAGACTCTGCATACGACACGTGCAAACTAACCACTCGGCCACCTTCGCCCCACAGGCAAACCTTTTGTTTTTTAATAAAGGAAGGCTTTCTGTCCACAGTCAGATATTTTTTTAATAAAAATGTGAATGTATGCTGAATTTGCTTTTGACTCATTAAAAAAGCATTATTTCAGTCTATGTCATAACCAGTTCAAACTCCTCACATGAGCTTTAAATGTCTTGTGATCTTAATGTACTAAACACAATTTTTTTAAATTTCTCTATATGCTGCAAAACAAGGCACAGCTCTATCATTCCACTTACCACAATGGAGTGAACAGCGCCTATCCTTGCACAGGCCAACATGGAGACTACCAGCTCAGGTATCATGGGAAGGTAAATGGACACCCTGTCTCCCTTTTTTACACCTTGAGCAAAGAAAAATAACTTCAGGATTTGAATAACAATAGCACATCTTGACCTTCTTAGATCGAACCAGCCATGGCAATGTAGCTATGTAGGATGAGTTGCAGCAGGTGGGATCTGGACCAGATACTGTACTGTATGTATGATATGCATTTGGCATAATGCATAGTTCTATATCTGGTGAGTTGCTGCATGCTAATGCTGCATGCGTGCCTTTTTGTAAAGTGTCTTGTGATAACATTTGTCATAAGTTGGCGCTACACAAATCAAACTGATTGATTGTTTGATTGATGTAAGATGTTCCTTTCTTACCCATTTTCTTGAGGACATTAGCACAGCGGCAAACCTGGCTCAGAAGCTGGTGGTAGGTGATGGTCATGTGGTGGTCAGGTGAGTTCCCCTCCCTGAGAAGACAACAAACAAGAGTCCAAATTAAACCAAAATCTGTTGCTGTCATGCAAACGTTAGGCTCTGTCTGTACGTTAGCAACCTGTTGTCTTCATCTAAGTTCTGTGAGTTCACAGAGCAGATCACTTATTCCTGTGGTGGATGCAACTTTATGAGATTTAGATGTTTGTCAGGTTTGTTGTTTGGAAAAGAAAAACATTTATTAACAAAACTATAAATCAGAAGAAACCAAACCAAATGTGGAGTTACACAGGGCTCAATCTTTGAATCTCTTTAATTTGCTCTTAGTGCTTATATAGCTGATGTTGAGGCAGAAACCTGATGTGCTTGATATGAAAACAACAACAAAGTTGTACACATACAAAAGATTAAACATAAACATCATAAATGTGCAATTCATTTTTTAAATGTTGGTTCCTAATAATGTGCCAAAATAATTTGTGTAAAAATAAAGATTAAAAAAGAAAATGCAGAGAATACGTGAGAGTAAAACAACAGCAACATTTGTTAATATCATCTTCAATTGTTTTAAGACTGTGGGGCATTTCTTAATCTATTTGTTGTACTAAGAAAAGAAAAACATTAAATGACTACATTTATACAATGGAAGTCCCTGATAGAAAACCTTTAAATGTTCATCTTTATTTTTCTGCCGTTAAAAGCCTTAACCAAAAAATTAAATCCTTCTGTTGTCAGGGAATGGCACCTACGTTTTAATTGCCATGACAGGACAACAGAAAAGTAGCCTGTTACCATCTTCTGATGTAACATGAATGAGATCATTTCTGTAACAACAAGATCTAGGAAACATGATCCATGCCTTTATCGCTGGTAGAGTGGACTATTGTAATAGGATTTTCTTAGATATTTCTATAAAAGCTCTATGACAGCTGCCACTCTTCCCTATTGACACTTCTTAAGATCTAATAGCAACCAAGTAATCTGAGCACATTACCCTATAAATCTGTGCACAAAGATCCTTTAACAAATACTGCTCATTCATAAATCACCAACTGATTCATGAGTAAAATACATCTGCAACAGTGTCAAGTGCTGTGTGCTGTTTTTGGTGTATTAACCATAACTTATCTAGCTGCATTTGACTCATTTTACGCCTTTTACTTGTAAGGAGCAATAAGATAAACAAAAAAAGATTTTCTTTTGTTTGTATGCAGTGTACAGTTATAGAAGTTAATATAAAACCCAGAAGAACTTGAAGTCCTAACAATTCAAAAGGTATTTTAAAGCTGCTAATGGATTACCTGAGAGACTCTGATTTGTCCTCATTATTCAAAACCATAATATGGGTCATTTCTCTGACTTTACCCACAGAGAAGGACATTATGTTGTTGAGTGTCATTTTGAGGCTGAGGCCATTTAGAACAAGCACTTGAAATGGGAAAGAGAGAGAAAGAGTTTAAATCCCTCTTTGTTAAAAACAATGTTATTCAAAGAGAGCACTTCGGCACAGGACACCTGCTGTCACAGAAGAGGATTGAGATCCTTAGTCTGCTGTAAAAAGCTAATACAGACAGTTAAAACTAAAATCCATACTACGATACTCTTCTGATATCGCAAATTTCAAAACGATAAAATCTCCATTATGTTAATAACTGATAGTGTGGAAAGTGCAAAAGCTGTAAAAAAAAAAATAGACAGATCTTCAGTTATGTTCTTTGACCCAAAGCAGCCGTGAATAAAAGAAAGAGCAGTGGTGGTCTGTTCAAATCACAGGTCAGCAAATACTGACATTTCTTCAGTCCCTATGGCGTCTCTTAAAGGTGTAAAAACCTGTTTGTGTCTCTTACAAACACACAGAAAGCAGAGGAGGTAACAGTGGAGGTGAGACTGACATGTTGCCAGTGTATTTGGGAAATACGGTGTGCATTATTTTAACTTGCAATTTCTGGTATTTTAAAACACATATAAGTGATATATTGGGTGCCTAGGACTTCTCTTTTGGTTGCCGTGGTATTGAAACAGGTGACGATATTTGATCTGAACTAGTATCATATCAAAGTTTACGAATCTGGCATTGTGACAACACCACTACCTACTACTTTTAAGGTTGCGTTATTTCTGTTGTTGCCTTTTTATGGTGCGTGTGATTTTCTTCATTACTCAGCAAATCCTTAAAATGCGTCTTGTTCATCAGACATGAAACCTGTATACTTGGTGCTCAATTTTACATCTTTTTAGATTCCAACATCTCCATGTTCAGTGTTTACATAGTTATAGGACTCTGTTAGCTGAAACAATAGCATTAAATTAAAAAAAGGTAGGGAGGTTGTTTTTTCAGTGTTTGAACATTTGATAATGTTTGGCAAGTTCTGTTTGGACAGGGTGTGAGCTAAAGTGAAATGAGTGTTTATCAGATCAACACAAACCATCTGGTCATTTGTATCATGAATACAAACATGGTAATAACACAGCTGACAGACTGGATCTTCCTCACATGACGTCCTGAATCCGGCATGGCAAGCACTCAAGCAGATGTATTATGTAAGTCCTTTGATGTAGTGCAAACAGTGTTAAGACACTTGTGTGGGTTATGGCTGGTCTCCAGTGGACCGGTTCCATTGAACCCCTATTTCTGCTGAGCTGGCACCACTATTTTAAAGTTCAATCCTCTTCAGTTGACAGAGCAAATATGAACCATAATATGAAGCCAAAACAACAGCATGACAGACTTGTTTGGTGACTTTTTAGGGTGTGGGACTTAAATCAGCTAGCAAATGCATGATGTTACTTCTGAATGTTTTCTGAATACAACCTGTTCAGCTTTTATTGAATCTTTCCTATTGGAAAAATATAGCACAATTAAAGTGCAAGTGCAATAAAAACTCAAACCAAATTTGTTTATGATAGGCTTTGTTTTCTTTAGTTACTGATAAATTCTCTGTGTTGATCCAGAAAAGTGAAACACTGAAGTACTGAAACTGCACGACACTATCTGAGGTTTGCATGGGTGCACTGAGGTCACAACAGTTGCTATTGACGGGAATACCTGGCATAACTGCAGGCAGCACCTACCATCAATGTCATCATTCATCTCAGACAGACATTGTTGCTTACCAGTAATAGGCAATCTTTTCACCCAGGTTCTTTTCCCTCACCAGTCTGTCCAGGACATTATAACACATGTTCGTTTTGGCCCCTTCCATGTATTTGATATATATGTTCCCTTTTGTCACATCAAAGTTGTACTGCACCATTGGTCCTGTTGCTGGCTTCTTCCAAAAGAACTCATCAGCAATCTCTTTCCAGAAAGCTGAAACAAAGTGATCATTTATGTCAGTGTCAGAGGCTGCACATAAACACAGATATACTGTGTGCAGACAAACTCGGGGGGGGGGGGGTGAATTGCAGGGAAACACTGCAAGCACTGCACTATAAATAAAGATGTTTGACCTACCTTCTGGATTCTCAAGAGATTTCCTGTAAAGGGCCAGATAGGAGTTAAAATCAGGCACGTGGGCATCCCTCTTCAGGTCATCAGGAGGGTAGTACATTTTGTCCTGAGATTCAGGAACAACCATTGTGTATGGACAGATGCAGACAGGCCTATATTACCAGAGGGTGAGTCAGAAAATTGGTTAATCTGGAGTCACTGCTGATCTGTCTGGATCCTACTGGGGAAGGCAAAAACACTACAAGGCCTCCTGCACAGAGAAAACACAGTTCAGCATGCATAAGAACCACCTCTAATCCTAGAGTTGAAGGCTCTCTCCTAGTCTGCTTATGGCCAGGGCAGCCAATCAGCTCGCATGGTGCGGCACTCCCTCTTTTTCATTGGGTAAACCCTCCCTGGCCTGTCGGTGGCATTATTTTTCCAAGCAAGTAGGAGAAGGAGGAGGAGATATGCAGAGGCATGAATAGCGGGGATTCAGGCAGGCGCAGGGAGGTTTGATTTGACAGGGATGGGGATGGGTGCTGTGAGAAAAGAAAACATTTGGCTCACTTACAGCTTGCTACCATAAACACTGATACATAAGACATTGTTGATTAATGATCTATGAATAGAAACTTAAGTGTGACAAAAATGTATTTTATACAGAAAGTGAATACATTTGGACAATTGTTGCAATCATTGCAAAGAATGAGTCAACTAACTTAGCCTATTTAATGCAACACTTTGAGAAAAATACATTTTTAAATCAATCTCATTGTATATGTAAATATTAACTCAATATCAACGTTGCATGGCGACATCTAGACATATATTTATCATCCTTATTCATTTCATTGTCTGGTAAATATGTGAATCAGAGTCTTACTTTTCTCTGGTAGTTTTAATGTTATCTGTAACTTTACCTTGAAGCACTTTGTTGTAAGTGTATTTATGATTCCAGTTTTCATGTAATTTATTGTTGTTATAATGATTCAATAAATGTAATATCAGAACTATTTTACCTTTAATATTTTCCCTTCAAACGCTGAGAAACATTCAACACAAGCTGCCATTAAAGTTACGTAACATGGCTTGTCTGAATTGTCCAATTGGCTACAGTGGGCATCGTTTGTTTTTGTTTTTAGCTCAAACTTCAATCTGGGATCGATTTTAGTCGCAACGCGACTGACTGACGTAGCTTCCCACGTCAGACCCTCTTAATCGAGCGTGAGCGCTTGTGTTGATTTCGCCCGTGTCTGTCTCGGCCATTTGCTAAGACACAGGGACCAAACTTCAAGCCCCAAAATGTTTCTGTCTTCTGTAGTTCGCTCTGCAGTATCGCAGACGGTAAGTGTGTGATATTGTCTGTGGTTAGGAGTCAAAGTTTAGATGTCTGATGTGTTTTTAGGAGTTAGGATGCCTTGACTCTTCACAAGGGCAAGCAGGCCGTTTGGTAACGTTAGCATGTTAGCTCACTTAGCGTCTGTCAAATGTTTGCAAGGTGATCTTTGGACAAAACAGGCAATGCAAATATAAGTTAAGTATGGAAATAAGCGATAATATATTAGAGTGAATTACATTATTCTTCCCATCACTTAAATGTCCCTTTATATTTAGACAGAACACGTTTTAAAACACGTAACTCGCCTGTAATGTGTATAAAGTAAGGTACAGTACAACAAGGCTAGGCAGAGGTGTTTAATCACTATATATGAGCTGCATGAGCTGTTAACGTGTGTCCAGTACTGCTATTGTTTTTGTCTTCTTATAATTACAAAGGTTTAAAGTAATATAAGAATAGCCAGAAGTTGATCGCTTTAATTGAATTCGCATTTGGGTTATTATTTCATATTGAAATATAGAGACTAGTGATATTTTTTTAAATCTATTTTGATTATGCCTAGTAATATAAAGTTATGGACTTGACATGTTGTCTATAGCAGGGGTGGGCAACTGGTGGCCCGGGGGCCACATGCGGTCCCCCATCAACCCTCAACGTGGCCCTCAGGTCAATTTTTACACATCAATTAATTGGAAACATGAAGAAAACATGACAAAATCTGCCATGAAATCATGAAAACCAGAAATATGTCTATAATAATATTTGATCACTGGTATATGTTGAGTTTAATTTTAGACATAATTGACTAATCGTTTTTTGTATGCTACAATTTGGCCCTCTGGCAGTGAGAATTAAATGAATGTGGCCCTTGCTGTGAACGAAGTTGCCCATCCCTGGTTTATAGCTACAAAATTAAAACGTTGCCAGTTTGTTTTTTTGATCCAGTCTTTACAGTTAACAGCCCTTTTAAAGGGGTTTCTTCTCAACGCAAGACATACCCACCAAAAGTTGCAGAAATAGGTCATTTATTTGTCTTCTTTCTTTTTGTATTTTCAGGCCAGACAGGTCAGGAGTCTGCACCGCTCTGCTGTACGTGCTGGAGCTGGTGGCATCTTTGTGGTGAGTTGTAATGTCAAGAGATGTGCAGAAGAAGAGGGATACAAAGTAGCCAGGTTGGCCACATGGAGCCTGCTTGAGCATTGAAGTGTTTTTTTCTATTGTTGTTGTTTTTTTAGCTATGTAGATGCATTGGGCTACAATGAGAACAGCACAAATCTGGGGATATTGGAAATAATAATTACTGATTGTCAATCAATCTCCTTCAGTCAGACTTTGCCAAATATGTGGTCCTAAAATGTTGTTATCAAGACCAAAATATTAGTTGTTAACTATTTTGTAGGGCAGACATTAGTTAAGCTCTCAAATAAGTGACTAGTTGTATATGGATAAGATGTAAACTCACACATCAACTGGAAATGAACAACATTGAGTCATCGAAATAGAAAATCTAATATGTCTTTATTATGCTCCAATCATTTAGTTTAATGCTCATTGTTAACTGATTATTGCCATGGAAACCAGTGCTTTGTATTATATTAAAGCATAAGTCCAATGTCATTTTTTGGATATCTTAAAGTTCAGGCAAAATTTTACATTTAGTTTGAGAATATGTTAATGAATGCATCTTTTCAAATGTATTTTTGTCCATGTAACTTACGTAAAACAAATATCTCTTGAGAAATAAATTTAGTTCTTAAACACAATAAAAAAATAAATAAAGGAAATCTTTCACAGCCACAGTTGAGTTATAATCTGTGTTACTTGTTTATTTACGGTGGTTATATTTTCTGTATTTGAGTAAAAATAAAACAGTGGATCTAATCTAATGGGTCAATGTTAACAAGGCATGGAGATAAGATATTTGTAGCCTTCCATTAATGCTGAAATAGTCCTAAAGGTATTGCTCATTTTCTGAAAGCGTTTAATTTATCCCAAGAGCCTCATCTGGAACCTATTGGAGCAACTCTTTGCCACAAAAGCACCATGGGTGATTTTCTTGTGCAATGGAAACATGCCATGGTTTCAATGTCTCTTGATGGTGAAGATGTTTGTCTGTCTTTAATTGGCATTATCTTTGAACTCCTCTTCCATCAGGACTGTTGTTTCTGAAAGCTTTAACTAAACACCACCATGGTTGTTCTTTTTTAATTGCATAAAGGTTGTTTACTGCTCACAAGGGGGCAGTATGTACAGAGGCAAAAAGAATTGTTATCTGTTGTGGAGTTGTCTCTGTGGTCTGAGAACAGCACCTGTTTCCTCCTCTGGGCTTACATATAAGGTTCTTCTTATTTGAGCTGAAACGGTTAGATACCGCTCATTAAAAGGTAGCTGTTGTGTAAAAATGCATCCCTTGCTAGATAGTTTTTAATACCCATTGGCAGATAAATTCTATTTAAAGATAGGGTGCCGATGGTCTAGTGGTTAGTTCATGTGCCCCATGTTCAGAGACAGTAGTCCTCTAAGTGAGCCGCTCGGGTTCGAATCCCATTCTGTAACTCCTTTCTCACATGTCATTCCCCACTGTCTCGCTCTCCCTGATTTCTGTCTCTTACTAGTATCCTGTCTCTCTAACAAAGCCATAAAAAGCCCTCAAAATACCTTTTAAAAAGTTATTTGATGATGAGGATCACTCATGTTTGGTTTGAAAAATGTGAACTGTCCTTTAACACTGTGGTCTCTGCTTTTTCAGCACAGAGATACTCCTGACAACAACCCTGACACTCCCTTTGAGTTCACTGAGGAGAACAAAAAGGTAAGGTTGACATGTTTCATCAGAACATGGTGAGGATGTACTAATATTGATTCATTTGAAGCATATGATGGTACTTATATATTTACTCTGCTGTACTCCATATAAATGTTTTTACTATAATGTAGTTAGATTTGTATGTGCCGGTAAGTCTCACCCCCTTCAATTTTGGGTTAGGGTTCAGACAGTTCTTTTTTATCTCTCTTAAAATCTCTCTTTATCTGAAAGCCTGACAGGTGACACAGGGTTCATTTCTTACCATATCATGATAAATAGGTATATACAGCTGTAATGGAGGGTCAAAGAATAAGGATTATTTGTTACATCACAATAATAACTGTAGGTCATAATGTTGTCCAGTCATTGTTTGATAGCACTGTCTGGCTCAACATATAAAGTACAAAAGATGAATGTGATCTAATCTTGAGTAGCTTCACTTTAATTGTATGTTTTTATTTTTCTCCCCTTGCTTGTAGAGGATTGAGGCAATCGTTTCAATGTACCCGATTGGACACAAGCAAGCAGCCACCATCCCAGTGTTGGACGTAGCCCAGAGGCAACATGGATGGCTCCCCATCTCCGCTATGAATAAGGTACAGTGATTCTTCTACAATTTGTTTTACAGATGTCTGATGCTCTCTAGACTTTTCTAATCCTATGTTGAACTTCATGTTTGTAGAACAGTGTGTGATATTTCCCGTGTAACGAGAAGCTCATTGAATGTTTGCAATTGTTTTCATGCAGGTCGCAGAAGTGCTGGAAGTCCCTCCAATGAGAGTGTACGAAGTTGCAACATTTTATACAATGTTTCTACGTCAGCCCGTGGGAAAATACTTCATTCAAATCTGCACAACAACACCCTGCATGCTCTGCAACTCAGACAGCATCCTGGAGACCATCCAAAAGAAACTGGGTAAGAGAGCCATTTTAATTTACCACCGGAACATGAATGAAGAAATGTAAACGCAGATAAGAAAAACATTTCTTTATTGTGTATATTTGTGATAAACAAAGATTGGACAACAAACAAAAATAGAGACATTTTAAACACAACACTCTGTAGCAGCAAAAAGAAGACATACAAGACTGAAAGAAAGCCTGACGACTGCTAACCTTCTTCAGTCTGTGTGGCATTTTATAAAGCACACCCAGATTTGTTTGTTCTTTTACTC